AAAAGTTGGGGGCGGGTTTAGCAGTTTAGAGAAAGTGCAGAACCGGAATCAACAAATGAGGCGGCGTGTTCAAGATACTCGTATGTGATGAGGGGGCGTGCTTAAGATGTATGATGAAACGGTCTCGCCCATTGGGGGGAGGGGGGCGTGTTTAAGACATATGATGAACCGGAATCGCCACATGAGGAGCCTGTTTCAGATATACTTGTTATGATGAACGGGAAGTGCCATAGGAGGGCGTGTTTTGGAGATATATCATGAACCGGAGTCGTCACATGAAAGGGCGTGTTTAAGATGTATGATGAAACTGGATCGCCAAATGAGGGGGCGTGTTTGAGAAATATGATGGGCCGGACTCGCCACATGATGGGGGGTGTTTAGGATATATTATAATGAACCGGAATCGCAGTAGGAGGGGGTGTGTTTAAGATACATGACGAAGGGCGTGTTTAAGATGTATGATGAACCGCAATCGACTAATGAGACTAATGATTTCGCGTGCAAAAACATCGCCCCTGCAAGTTGTAATCCCCCAAGAAATTCGGGCAAAACAGGACCTTGCAAATTGTAATCCCCCAATAGCTTGGTGCAAACAAGAACCTGCCTTTTTGGAACTCCCCACCAGCTTGACAAAAGACAGGAGCCTCCCCAACAGCTTGGGGCAAAAGAAGACACTACAAGATGGAACTCCCAATATCTTGACACAACGCAAAATCCTGCAAATTGTAATTCCCCCATAGTTTGACGGGAAGCACGACCCTGCAAATTGTAATTCGCCAATAGCTTGACACAAGAGAGGACCCTCGAAATTGTAACCCCTCAATCGCTTGAGGCAACACAGTACACTACAAAGTGGAACTCCCCAATGGCTTGACACAACGCAAAACCCTGCAAAGTGTGATTCCCCAAAGGCTTGAAGCAAAGCAAGACCCTGCAAATTGTAAGTCCCCAATAGCTTGGCAAAGCGAAACCCTGCTAATTGCAATTCCCCAACAGTACAATAGCTTGACACAAGGCAGGAGCCTCGAAATTGCACTCCCGCAATAGCTTGGCGCTGAACGGGACCCTGCTAATTGCAATTCCCAAATAGCTTGACGCAAAGCAGTGGCAACCGCTGCAATTTACAATATTTGCGCAACCAAAAAAGAAGAGCCAACGCTGGCAAACGAGATCGGGGACCGCCAGTGTCAGCGGTAGTGCTCAAAAAAGCATTGCCCGGACAGAGCTGCATTTACAACAACTTCGCCTTCAGAGCCGAAGCCGCAGGTGGTCGACGTCTTGAAGCAGCTTGGACAGAACATGTTTTCTGCCCTGAGTGGTGGAAGTTCGAGTGGGTTTTAACGTTTTCTCCAGAATCCTCGAGTGATGTTCATACCCTTGAGTGAAGCAGACGAGAGTGGCTTTCAGGCGTGTCGACACGGAGATGGATGCGGCCAAGGTCCACCGGGCTTGATCGGAAACATCCCTGACAGTCCATTATTAGCCGCGTTGTGCACGTTTTGTGGAATCTCCTGTCAGGCCCAACTGGTCGAGATTGGTGCAAAGGCTCCGGGTCCGTTCCGAAAGCAAACAGCGAAGTGAACTCCCGCAGGCCATCGATTTCAAAGCCCGCTTTCGCTTCCGAAACGCAGCTGCTACAGTGATTCGGCTGTTGGAATGGTTCGGGGAAAACTGAGGCCATACTCGATATTCGGAAAGCTGTCAGAGGCGAATTGCTTACATAGATACCGGTACCCTTCTGGACTTCTGGTCACAATATCCGACTCTCACCCGAATACCAATGCCTCGGCTCCATGCAGATTGTGCCTTTTGTCAGAGCGGCGTTTCGCCAGCCCAGGCGAGTGCCGCTGCACAGCTCGTGGGTCAGCGTGGCGAGGTCAACGACAAACTTCGGGCTATCTCAGAGGCCCCTGCCGAGTTGCCTGGACTGAGTTGGCACTCCTTGCGAACTTTTCAGGAAGCCCAACAGCTGGAAGACCAGATGGCCTACACGACAGTCGGCAGTCCTTTTCGCTACCGTGTGCGGCTCATCAAGCTCGCAGGCGCGCACCAACCACAGGGTCGCATCGGGTCGCCCGCCCGTGCGCGCCGTGCGCGCCGTGCGCACGACACCACTACGCATCTGAATTTCAGAGGCGAGGCCGAGCGCGCGGGCCAGCTGATGGAGGCGCGGATCCAGAAGCTGAAGGAGGCCCTGAGGAGCGCTGCGCCTGGGAGCTGCGCCCTCTCTCTGCCTCTCTCGTCTTTTCAATGTTGGGCCGGCTCTTTCTTGGACTGACCGTCGCAGTCGCGACAGGATGCTCAAGAATGCTGGCGGAGAGTTCGTGGACGACAACTTGGAGCCCGAAGGTGAAGGTGAGGAAGGTGAGCAGTTGGATGAGTCACCCCCCCAGAGGGCCGTGACTGCGCAGTGCGCCATGCCTTGTGTGACTCTTTCTGTGGACAGCGGAAGGTCCACGCCGCTTCTGGCAGAAGTCCAAAGTGATGCTGTCGAAGTGGGCGTGCATGAGCACGAGAGCCCCGGAAGAAGTTCCATCAATTATTCCCAATTATTCTGTTCCTGAAGTGGCTTGTCTATGCCTGGTCAACTGCGCAGTGATGTCGTGGCCTCCAGGAATTATCCCGACCAGGGCCATGGCTGGCAAGAGCAGGGCCACTGGCCAGAGCAACATGCACAACCTGGCCAAGCCGCGTGACTTGTCTGTTTCTTGCAGCCTTTTGAATCGGCCCCAGGGTTGCTTGCACCCATTTGCACCCTTCAGAATCTCGCAGCACAAGCGAAAAAAGCAGAGGATGTTTGGGCAGCCCGGGCAGATGCCCCTGTCGCACTCCAGCTGCAAAATGCTTTAAAGCCATGCCCATTCTTTCTGCTTGAACCCTCCGTGGGAATGCCAGGATGTTGGGCATGGACCCCCAGATGCAGATGGGCCACCAGATGGACCCCAGATGGGTCCCCAGATGGGTGCACCAGGGAAGCTTGCCTGCAGAGACTTTCAGACGTGTGCCACCGACTGCACAATAACTGCAATGAGTCGGTTCTAAGGATGGGGCTGCCTGGGTCAGGCATGGACATGCAGCCTGGGCCGCCAGGGTGCCTGTGATGCAAGCAAAACTTCATGCACGAATGTCCCAGAGAACAGAAAACTGCTACCGCACGTTCATGGAGCCTGTCGCTTCCGAGTGCACCCTTCGGCTAGAAATCTCAGCGCGGTCAAGACGACGGGCCTGGGAAGCCTGTCCGGCTTGAGCTCCAGCCTCTCCAGTCCGTCGTGGTGCCAATGCCGTTGCAGAGCGTTTGTGTGTTTGCTCGAGATTTCTGCTTCCGAGGATGGCTGGACATGAGCATGGACATTGGCATGGGCTGCGCTCTCAGCATCTCTGCATGCAGGCGGACCAGTGTAGCACACCGTAGCACCTTAGGTCTCATCTGGACCCAGTCGAGCAGGCTTCCGAGCAGATGGCGGTGGGGGAGAAACTCGGCCGCACATCCCTTGAAACATGTTTCAACGCTTCAAGCTTTGGCATCTCTGGCCGCGTCTTGTCAGCTAAGGCGAATGGAAGAGGCTGAGGCGTGGGCAAAGCATAATAAGCATTGCTGTAACGTGTGTATAGTGAGAGGGCAGAGAGGCCGACGTCCAATTTGATGGGATTCAGGAACGCGTGACTCAAGGGCACAAAACGCCTCTTTGGTGCAGGAGGCGGCTATGTCCGGGGTGACGGCATCGAAGGAAGACGAAGAGGCCGCGTACTAGTCATATATAGTCATGCACGCGTCGCTGGTGCTGTCATCTCCGAGTCCGTGGTTTCCAGGCCACTGCCAAAGAGATGGAAGATACCATGGAGGAGAGCCATTTGGTGGCCTTTGGGGCTCTCAAACTCAAAGTGCAGAGCTTGCCGAGGACAATACCTGGTCCATCGATGTGCTCCCCATCCCTCAGCCATCTGACGTAGAGCCACAGGACTACCAGAAGCCTCAGAAGCCTTCAGACTCAAGCAGTTTCCCATTGCACGACTGAGCCTCCAGGAACCGGCGCCCGACGGCGTTCCACCGCTGCCGGTCGCGGAAACCTCAAGCGGCTGTCAGTGTAACTGGGCTTCTATATGCTGGCGCAGTGTGGTTAAACTAGCCGCGCCTAGCAGCTGCATAAAGTCACTGCTGTGAGTGGCGGGTGGCGTTGCCGGGACGGGTTGTGTCCCGAAATTCATCGCAATGTGTGCTGAGGTGATCCCACGGCCAAGTGTGCTCTTCAAGGCCAACCCTTCACCTGGTGCCGCGTTGGCAGCGAAGAGGCCGCATTGCATCCCATGGAAGTCTTGGAACGTGCAGCGGCTTTGGCTCGGGCAGATTCGGGCAGGAGCCCACCTGCGCAAAGCTGGATGTGGCTGAAGACCCTACCGGCCGCGACCATGCCTTGGGTGTGAAGGGAAGGCGGCAGCGCGGGGTTGCCACTCGTGTAAGAGTGCTTGTGATGTCTCCCAACTCGCCTTGCGTATGAGTGCAAATCCTGGCGGCCAGGCAGTGGGATTACTGTCCTTCGGCAGCAACGGTGTGATGCTGGAAGTTCGCATGGAAGTGATGAAGCATTCGTCTCATCGCTTCGTTGTGCCCGAGGTGTTCCTCCAGCACCGGTTAAAGAAGAGGAAGGCAACGAAGGTGGCGCGATTCCCAGAAGGGCTTCTGCAGAAGCCGAGCATCCGCTTTCTCACTTCGCACTCTTCTTTCGAATGTGAATGAAACTCTTGAGGTGAGAGTGGTGGCCAAGAGTTCCAGCAATGGGAGGGGGACCAACAGTATGGCATTAGCCTCAGTGCACATGCGGCATGACGTTTTTTCGATCGCAAACTTGGAAGCTTCTGCTTCTTGTCATGATGGAGGCGGTGGCTACGATACATTCGGCGGCCCAACCGGCTACTACGCCCAACAAGGCATTTCTCCCCATGGAAGTTTGATGGGAACCTTGGGTGACTTTTTTCGTCATTTTCGAGGCGCTGGCCACGACCAATCGGGCCACACCCTACCAGGTCTTTGTTTAGCATTCGCCACTTCGAATGTGTATTTTGATGTCCTGATGGAATTCTGGTCATGATCGAGGCTCTTTCTACGATCAGTTCGGCGGCCTGGGCGGTGGTCAAGGCCAATTCGGAGGCGGCTCAACTTGCAGGGTCATTTTTCTAGCATTCACTGTTTCGAACGGTTCACGTGTCATGTGATGCTTCTTAATCGGAAACTTCCGTGCTCTTCGTCATCATGAAGGTGCTGGCTACGACCAAGTCGGCTACGACACACAAGGTCACGCCTGCAGAAGCCACTCCTTGGAACAAGGCGCTGGGTCGTCAAAAACTTTCGAGGTGTGACTGGCTACGATCCTTACACTGGCATGGGCCTCGGCTTTGGGACGCACATGGTGTTCTATGGCTCGTGCTGACAAGGTGCCCATTTCGATCAGACGGGAGGCCGTGCTCTGAGATATACTTCGGGGCACAATGGTCAGTTTATGTGGCTGTCGTACCTGCTGTCGTGGGACGCCTGTTGGTCCTTGTGATGGCTGTCGAGGGCTGCTGCACATGAGGTTATGACCAGCCGTTTGAGGATGAACACGGCCGCTTAGCTCAGACAGCCTGCGATGCAGGGCCACTGGAACAGACAGACAGACAGACAGA